CCCTCCCCTCCCCCCTGATCTGTTTGGGAATGGCAGCAGTCGAGAGCCCGTACCACGCAGACGCAAGAGAAAAGCAGATGTGCATCCAAACAAAGAGCAGGAAGAATTGGCACAAGCGATTGCCTCAAAGCTTCTTTGTCGTTATGTGCAAGGGCAGCAGAGGAGCAATCAACGTATATTGAGGGCCACGTCGTCAGCTTCCACTTCCTCTCATCCACCCCCTCCACCCCCTCCACCCCCTCCACCCCCTCCACCCCCTTCTCCGCCGCCGCCTCCTCCTCCTCTTGGTGGTGGTGTTGCGGCTACTGGTGCTGGATCTGCTGCTGCTGCTGCTGCTACCGCCGCGGCCATTGGTTCTCCGGCTGCTGCAGGTAGGATTTGCTGTTGTTGTCATCAGTAATTGATTGGGCAGCGAGAACAGTCCTGAAGAACTCTGCTTGTTGCCCTTGTCCTTCTTTCCCCCTTTTTTTTTTTTTTTTTTTTTCCCTCTCTGTCAACCCGAATAGAATGTACACGTCGTACAGTCATTATTGCTGCATATAGACTGAAATGTTTAGGGTTTAGGGTTTAGCTGTGATGAGCATGCGTTCTATTCGTGGGGGAAGACGATAGTCGTCTGCAGATGCCAGTGACACTTGAATCGTTGTGACGTGGAGGGTATTGCAAAAACTACAGGGCAAATTTCGCTGGCAATAGAAAAGAAAAAAGCAAAAAAAAAAACAGGTAGATAGAGCTGCTGTACGCGTTGGTACGTTTTAGGAAAGAGCCTCGTGAATGAACTTGTTCCGTTTGTTCATCTTCGTCTGTGCCATGTGCTTTCTTCCTCGGCGTATTTTTCTCATTGCTGTTCCTTTTTTTTTTTCTGCTTGCTCTTCCGGTTGGCTCCTCCGTCTGTTCTTCTGCTTTCGTTCTTCTGTTTGTTCTTCTGTCTGAGCCAGAGACTGGACCTGCCGACTGTACCTGGACCTAATTTTAGGGCCGATACCTACAAAAAACTTGGAGGCTTGGTTCAGTCCACAGGCTAGACCAGGAGACAGGACCAACACGCTGGATCAACTGCAGATGCATGGACCTTGAGCCTGGATCTGCAGACTTGGCTGACAGAATGAAACCCCCCCACTTGGAGGATACACCTGCAGACTGGACCTATGACCTGCAGACTGAACCTGGAACTAATTTTGGCTCCCATACCGTCTAGGTCTGAACAGCAAATCTGGTCCTGAACACACTCGCTGGATGGGCGATTTTGTGAAAATTAAGCATGAAGCCGGAAACGAAGACATGAAAATGTAAATCGAAGAAAGGAGTTTGAAATCGAAGCATTCAAATAGTAAAGAGGTGGCTTATTGGTAGGTGCTGCTAAGGCAGGTGACTTTTGTCGAGTTCTTGGCTTATAGGCAAGGCAATGAATTCCAATTCAAGTGTTTTCACCTCCGTTTTGGTGCCTCCTCCTCCTCCCTTCCCCCCCCTTCCCCCCCCTTCCCTGAAAGCAAGGAGCCGCTTACATTCCTAACTTGGGGAGGAGCATGATTTAAAGTTGTGTCTAAACC